CATCACCCAGCTGGCGCCGGGAGAGTTCCTGCTCATCACTGGCTCGGGGTCAGAGCTACACGACCTCAGGTGAGCTGCACGATCGCACGCACGTTGATCTGTCTTCACAGGTAACAGGTGGCTGATAGTAATGAGTTAGGTTCATAATATATGAAGCTTAAAGTGTCTATAATTAATATTTTTATAGAAATGACGATGTGAGACAAAATGCATCTTGGGAATCGTAGTTAGCAGTTGATATCTCAGTGACACTTTGAGGGAATTTCTTCAAATTTGGCACAAACGTTCACTCGGCCTCAAGGATGAACTGATTACACCTTGACAAAGGTCAAAGTCACTGTAACCACACAGAACACGTGATTGGCCGCAACTCAAGAACTCACATGCTAATTAGCTGCAACTGGACCGACTGGCAGAGGCTGTATTTCTACTTTATCTTCAGTACTGAGGTTCAACTGGGAGAGTTACATGTCGGTCAAAGCTGTTAGAAGTTTTCCATCTGTGAGCCACCTGACATCGTCTGTAGAGAACATGAGAGGAACTTCAGCCTCTGGGAGCAGAGGGTTCGGCAATAAGATTCATTCTTACACGACGAATGAGATACAATAAAATAGATAAAATAATAAACGAACAGATAAAATACAAATTAGAACATAATTACAATCAAATAAAGTGACTAATGACTAAAAAGCAAATTCAATTAAAAGTCAGTTCAGTTCCTCTGTTAATTAGCGCCCTTTTTTAGATGTTGCACTACTGATGTGCGTCAGAAAAATGATCCCGGATCTGCTTAGTTTTCTCTATCAGTAGTTTAAGGCCTAGGACCAGTGTTACCATGGTAACAATCAATGACACCTGCGCTGACCAGTAGCGCCCAACAACAACAAACAAGAAAACATGGTTCATAATTTGTGGTTTGCTAACAAGGTTATGGAGAGAGCAAAGAGAAGGGAAAGAGTTTTTCTTTTTTTTTTGTTTCACTCTTCATGTAAAAGGTGAAACTGTTGAACTCGTTCAGAGGACGGACATGTTCTGTTGGGGTACACAGGGCTCAGGGGTTGGATTGGGTTCCTCGCTCGGTCTTAATTTACCCAGAAGTCATTGTATCACAGTCCGACTTAAGATGCTCAAGAACTAAAATGCTTTGTGGCAACGGATGAATTCAGACTCTAGTTCATCTGACGTCTGACTATTTGTTTCATCTAAGACACAGACAAAGTCTGTCTTTGTGAAACCAGCTCCTGGGTCTATGTGGGTTCATCCAGTTACATAAAATAAGCCTGGCAGCCACAATAAAACCTGTTACTGCAGCTTAAACTCTGCTTTAGTAAACTCTGCCTGGATGACAGATTTATCCCTGAACAGACACAGCTGTGGGGACTCTCCAAAAAGACAATACCAAGGGACTGTCCCTCAATTGTTGTAGAAATATCTCCACTTTATTATCACATTTCCAACACTTATTATGTTTTTTAAGCTCATTTTAAACAGTTTTAGGTGTGTAAAATAATATATAAGTGCTTTTTTTTTTATAATGGACGAACATTTGAGAATCACGTCCTGCCATAAATCTTTACCAATTCACGATCCCTCTGCCATATTAATATTTGAATATGTGGATTTTTGTTTTATAAACCACTAACCCTAACCCCCACACACACACACACACACACACACACACACACACACACACACACACACGCACGTATAGGTGGACAATATTCAGTTTCCCTGCACACAAAGCAGAGTACATGATGCTAACAGAGAAGCTCTCAGTCAGAGAGGAGTCTCACACTGCGCTGAATAAAACTCTCTCACACTCTGTTTTATACGGCAGAAACCTTAAACCCTTCAGCAGCTGTTAACTCAACGCCTCTCCGTTTGCTCCAATCAGGACGCAGTGTATTAAACCTTTCATCCGCGTTCCTTCACTGTAACTAACGCTCTGCCGCAGCCTGAGGGAGGCGAGGGCGGTTTCAGGCTCTGTAGAGACCTCTAGTGGAGACAAGGCGGGACTACAGATGTTGAGTTCAAGGAGGTCACAGAGGGAAAATTCAAAACATGAGATGTGAAATATTTACTGCAAATAAGCCAGAAACATCCAGGTGGTTAACGGCAGAGATGCTGTAATGATGCAGGATTAAAATCTCTTTGCTTTGTGGTTTTACCTTCCCTCAGGTGGATCGAGACAGAAGCTGCAGACGGCGGATATGACGTCGACATCAGCAACGTGACGGAGGACATAGGCGTGCTCGGCATCGCGGGACCGAACTCGCGCAAAGTTCTTCAGAAGCTGACGGAGGAGGATATGAGCGACGCCGGTTTCAAGTTTCTCCACTGCAAGTCCATCAAGCTGGCCGGCATCCCCGTCCGCGCCATCAGGATCTCCTACACCGGTACTGAGCGCTTTTCTGAAAACAAATTAAACAATTTGGATTCCTTGCAAACTACACCAGCCGCAAATACTGACATGTACAGAAGAAATCGTCTAACTTACCATATGGTGATGTTGTGTGTGTGTGTGTGTGTGTGTGTGTGTGTGTTTAGGCGAGCTCGGCTGGGAGCTGTACATCGACCAGAAGAACATGGCGGCCGTGTACCAGGCCATGATGGAGGCAGGAAAAGACGAAGGCATCGACAACTTCGGCACCTACGCCATGTCCTCCCTCAGACTGGAGAAAGGCTTTAGAGGCTGGGGAGCTGAGGTACACACACACACACACACACACACACACACACACACACACACTAATGTACTTTTTTACTCTCTGCTGAGGACATGAACTTGTCGATGTTTACAGATGAACTGTGACACGAATCCTCTGGAGGCTGGTTTGGATTATTTCATCAAACTGAACAAGGTAACGATCGCTCTCGTTTTTGAACTGTGTGTTCTTCACCATAACACTGATGAAGGAGAGAGATTCGCTGCCTCTGTTTGCAAATACTACGGGGAAAAGCTCATTAGTTAGTGAGAACTTTAGGCTCTTTTCTTTTCTAATTCGTTTCTTATTTGTCATTGAGTGTAAAAATGGCTGTAAGAGGGTTTTTCCTACATTTATCCTCCTGAAAAATCTTGTTTTTGTGGCTCCTTCACAAAGGTTTGTAACCAGGACGAGCTGCATGCGGACTGACTTTTACAATTACAGGCGACAAGATATCAGATTTGAATTAGACTTTATGAATTTCCTTTTATCATTCGTTGTAACGTCAGAAATGTTAATGGTTATTTATCAGTTTTTAAAAACCTGAAATAGTTTTTGCTTGTGGGGGAGCTCATGTCTCTTTGGCAGGAGCTAAGTTCCCATGATGCATCTCTTAACTACAAACAACCTGAACGTACACTCTTTGTGTCTGTGTGTGTCCAGCCGGCTGACTTCATTGGCAAAGCCGCCCTTCAGCAGATCAAAGCCAAAGGCCTGAAGAGGAAGCTGTCCTACATCACGCTGGATACTGACGATATCGACCCGGAGGGCAACGAGACCATCTGGCACAACGGCAAGGTCAGCGACGGTGAAAATCCTCCGTGTCCTCTCCTGCTCAACACATCCTGTCGTGTTCGGTTGTTTACGTATTCGCTGTTTTTCTCACCAGGTGGTCGGCAACACGACGTCCGGGGCCTACAGCTACAGCAGCCAGCAGAGCCTGGCGTTCGCCTACCTGCCTGTGGAGCTGTGCTCCGTGGGCCAGAAGGTGGAGGTTGAGCTGCTGGGGAGGAAATACCCCGCCATGGTCATCCAGGAGCCTTTAGTCCTCACTGAGCCAACGCGGACCCGGCTGCAGAAGAAAGCAAAGGGCAAAGCATAAGCACGGACTTCTCCTCCATCAGTTTATCAGCAGCTAATGAAGAACAATCCCACTGAATTATGAATGAGAGGTAAAGCTGTTATGGAAAGAAATCATGTGCAGGCCATGTGCCGAGGTGTTTGTGTCTGCGGCCACTCTTGGAAAAAAGAGGCTCGTTCACATCAGTCACAACTTCCTCTTCCCGTCCTGAAAACAGATCCGGCATGTGAGAACGCTCAGCGTCTTACGACTGTGTTTTTGAGAAATAATAACTGTCATGTGATGTATTTGCACCACAGTGTCTTAAAGTGTTGAAAGAGTAATTGACATTTTTTTTGTAATTCCATTAACGGTTTATGGGTCAATACAATACTTGAACATTTTCAAACAAAAAGGGTCAAATGAGAAAAAAAAATCAGCTTTTTGTGTTTATTTGAGAGTCAAGAGATGATGTCGCTGCATTTTACACAGTCCTCATCAGCTGTTATAAACACCAACAACCAAAAGAAACAGAATGTTTGCAAACTTGTACAAAGATTGTTTTTTTAAATCTGTTTTTTTTTACTAATATGTAATTAAATTGGTGTACATTGATACCTTGATAATTAAAGCAATGCACTCACTGTCTTGTATTAGGTGTTTGACTCCCTTCCTCCTCTTCTCTTCCCCACACGTCCTCAGAGCCACAGCTTTCTTCTGTTTGACTCGTTTAAACCCCAAGAACCAAAGATTACACGACTGTCTGAAAATCGTGACACGAGGATGAATTTATTGGTGAGCCGACTGAATCTTTACGAACTGGCTGCCATTAAAATATGGTTTTAAAAGTTCATTTTCATTATATTTTTTAGCAAACACTCGCAACGCAATAAGGTGCATCACCTGCAGCACATTACTGGCTTTTCATTTTCAACAATATCTTCTTATTACTTCACTTGGATGTTTGAGCGTCACTGTGCAGAATGATGCATGTGCAAAAACAAACAACAAACAAAATAAAAAAGCAAGAGCAACAACAAAAAAGCAGCAAAACAAACAAACAAAAAAGGAACAAAAAAAGAACAACAAACCCCCCAAAACAACGATAAAAAAAAATCAAGAATTAACAAAAACCACAAAAACAAAGAAAAGATAAACCAAACAAACCAAAAAACACAAACAAAAAGCCCCAAAACAACAACAATGAACAAATGAATAAACTCGAAAAACGTTGACCAAACTGGGCTTCCGTACTGTCACGTGATTGGCTGTTTTTTCCAGTCATCTGATTGGCTGCTGCAGCTGAGGCAGTGTTTTCAATCTGCGGAACAGGGAAGTGACTGACGGACGGAGGAAATGTAACTTCAGTCGTATTTAGTTTGTTATTGACAGAAATAAACACCGACAACTTCCAGTTCAGACGCACGGTGACCTGCTGTTGCTGCTCGGCCTCGTCTCTGTCATGTTCCCCTCTCTTTGAAACGAAGCCTGTCGAACTTTTTCTTCGGCTTTCTTCGGCTGAAGCAGTTGTTTACAGTTGTTTTACACCGGAGACTAACGATGGGAGACAGACGGTCGGTTCATTCGCTGGTGGTTGTCGTGTTTGTTCTCAGCTGTCCTCCGGTGTTGGCGGCTCGGAGGCCTCACGTCGTCTTCGTCCTGGCCGATGACTTCGGCTGGTACGATGTCGGCTACCACAGCTCGGAGATCAGGACTCCAAACCTGGACAAAGTTTCCGCCACGGGAGTCCGCCTGGAGAACTACTACGTCCAGCCTCTGTGCACCCCCTCCAGGAACCAGCTCATGACCGGGAGGTACCAGGTGAGACCCGCAGACTAATGTAGGATTCACTTACTTCTTCCCAAACAAAACCGGATGTAAAGCAACATCAGGCTGAAAAATAAAACCTTCATAAATGATTTAAGTCCAAGTCGTTTTCCTGCTGCTTTTGTATTTTTGCAAAACAGTATTGAATCTGTAGCAATAACTTTTCCTCAGACATTAAGAAATTAAAATTAATGAGCCAAAATAAATCAAAAATGGCAGTGCACGCACTGGATATTTTTCTGCATTAAAACCTGTTAATATATGTATATAATAATGTATGTAATATGTATTTTCTTTCTTGTCAAACACAGAACAACTGTATATGAGGTTTTTTAGCACAATGAGCACATCTGAGAGTAAAACAGATCATTATAAAAACAGTATAATAAGTTATAATAACCATTGTGCATCATTGAGTCAGGTGAAGATTTCCCATTTATACATTTACATTCAATTGAAAGGTGTAAAAAATGAACCGTGAATCAGAGAATTTCAATCAGTGTTTTCAGAATAATGATTTTTATTCAATAATAATAAAACCTTAGATTTTTATAGCACCTTTCAATGTACCCAAAGAGTAAGAAGAGAATAAGTAAATAAATAAAACATGACAAGATAGAATAAGGATGGCGATAACGTTGATTACCTATAATTTAGATATGAAGCTAATGGTAAGGAAATTCATACAGTGCATCATACCAGCCTCCTGCTTTAGACTCCAGGAAATAACTTGAAGAACTTTCCTGGGTGGAAAGAGTCTAATTTGGACGCTGATGGAAAGTAGAACCAGAGAGCAAAGTTGCGCCACTTCAGGGTTATTATGAAACTTCTCTTTCTGTGGTCATTGTCGCCACAAAGCCCGTTAGTTCCCTCTTCGCCTCGCGCCATGTTCAACCGACCTTGTTCGTCTTTTAAACGGTTTCCTCCGCAGATCCACACAGGCATGCAGCACCAGATCATCTGGCCCTGTCAGCCGTACTGCGTGCCCCTGGATGAGAAACTGCTGCCCCAGCTGATGAAGGAGGCGGGGTACGCCACACACATGGTGGGCAAGTGGCACCTGGGCATGTACAAGAAGGACTGCCTGCCCACACGCCGCGGCTTTGACTCATATTTTGGTTTGTATATTGTTGAATGAACATCTGAGAGAACAGTTTCAGTTAATGATGCACAGTCATTTTTGGAGATTTTTGCAATGTTGGATGAACATTTAACACGTCATCCACTTAGAGCTTCTCTCATCTGGACTTTGGTGGTTTGACAATAAGAAGTTAATGTTTACGGATCTTTCAGTGAATGAATAAACCTGAAACTATGAAAATGAGGGGGGGGGTGGAGGGGGGGAGGGGGGGCAAAAATAGGATTTTGAAGAGTGGAAATTACGCCCCCAGTGTTTCCACAGTTTAGATTTTGTGTTGTGTCTCGCCTCCAGGTTACCTGACGGGCAGCGAGGATTACTACACCCATAAGCGCTGTAGCCCCATCTCTGCCCTGAACCTGACTCGCTGTGCGTTGGACCTGAGGGACGGAGAGGAGGTCGCCACCGGATACACAGGAGCCTATTCAACTGAGCTGCTCAGCCAGAGAGCCATCAGCGTCATCGAAAAACACAACTCTAACAAGGTGACGCACACACACACACACACACACACACACACACACACACACACACACACGATCAGAGGTGTCAGTGAAGAGAGGCCAGGACTGTGGAGACATGGTCTCTCTTCACTGTTGCATTTTGAATTTGAGTTTAGCTGCAACACACTCTCACAGGTCTGTCAGACAATAATTATCAGTCCAGTCTTCTGTTAATGTCAACAGAAGACAAATAAATCGCCAAATATGGGAAATTAATTATTTGTTTTTTAGACAATGAAGGTTTGAGTTTCAAAAAAGCCTTCTGTAATTAGACTAATTAAAGGTTTCTGGCCTTTTCCGCTCTACAAACACAAGTCTAGGTCATTTGTTTGTTTGAGTTTACAACATTCAGCCACAGAGACGAGTCCTCACACGTCGTCCTCTTTGTCTTTCAGCCGCTCTTCCTCTACGTGGCGCTGCAGGCCGTCCACTCACCGCTGCAGGTGCCAGAGCGCTACACGGCCCCGTACAGTTTCATCAAAGACCACCATCGCAGGCTCTACGCCGGCATGGTGTCGGCCATGGACGAGGCGGTGGGCAACATCACCCTGGCTTTGCAGAAGACGGGGCTTTGGGACAACGTGGTGCTCGTGTTCTCAACAGGTCTGTGGATAAAAACGCACTGTTTGTGTCATGGCTGAGATTTGAAGCCTGGTCAACATGACGTCAAACACATGATGAACCACTATAACTGGTTTATTACTCAAACTAACAAGAACAACTTCTTCTTCTGGCTAGATTAAATTGTCTTTGTTTCAGTGGAAACTGACAGAGAAAGATCAGGCTTCACACACAGATAGGATAATCAGGTGATTGACTCTGGGAATGCTCATATATTTTCCACAGCTTTTTATTTTTTTTTCCAGCGGATTCTTTTATAGTGCGCCAGAATGGAAACCAAATCAGTGGATGCTAAGTGAAGAGCAATTACATTTTATGTTTGCGGACAGAAAACCACATGTTCTGTTCTGTGAGCATCAAAGCCAGTTTTTATTTTTTTTATTTTTTTCAGGGTTAAAGGGAGTTCAGGTGATAAAAACAAGGTTTATTGAATGAATGCATCAGAGGGTTAGATAACACATTTTACTGCACAACATGATCAAGAATGAGGGAGATATAACAGATTCTTGCATCAGGGGGAATCAGGAATATAATTAACCACTCGTGGTGCCACGTCCTGAGTCAGAAGGTGAGAGGTGTTTGTGTCTTAGTGTCATGTATGGGCCAACAAGGTACAGACCCAGGGCCACAAAGAGACACAAAATGACCAAAAGAGACATTAAATGACCACAGAGGAACAGAAAAACAGTCAAAAGAAACATAAAATGACGAGAAAAAGAGACAAAATGACCTTAAAGAGACACAAAATCACCACAAATAGATGCAAAATCACCACAAAGAGACACAAAAAATACTATAAAGAAACAGAAAATGAACAAAAGAGACATAAAATGACCCCAAAGAGACACAAAAGACATCAAACAGGCACAAAATGACCACAAATAGATGCAAAATCACCACAAAGACACAAAACAACTATTAAAAGATTATAGTCGTCTGTGTCTCTCTCAGTCTGGGTGTCTTTAACAGGTCTGTGTCCAGGGGTTTGTTGTCTCACAATCTGTCCATGACTTGAGGTTATTTGAAGTTACAAATAGCAACTATTCCCTCCTTTTAGATTATTAAAAGTTGTTTATTATTATCACCAAAAACCAGAGATTTAAACCTGATTCTTAACACTTATTTATTTTAGTTTGGATTCTCCACAAACTCAGGGCTGGTTAGGCTGAAAAAAAGGCAACTGTAATACTCCGTATGTCCACTAGAGAGCAGTGTTCTGTTGTAATTGTTGTAACAGGGGTTTGTGTGCTGGTGTCAGGATCACCGTGGCAGCAGGATGTGGAGATTTACAGAAAGAAGGTAGACTCCACTTGGCTCATGTCTTCACCTTCACCACTGGAGTCTCAGTTCTGTTGAATCCTGAAAAATATCCATCTTATAAACCTTTCGGTGGAGAACATAACAAGGCCAGGTCGAGGCTTAAAAACCACCATCTAAACATGTGCCTACTCACTGGTTTCCACATGTGGAGCTTCTAATGAATTGCATCTGAAGTAGGTAACTCCTTTGAGGGTTATTTTTAGGGGTTTTGGGAGGGGGGGGTTTAAAAGGGTAATTAGAGGACAGGAACAATGCTGTGAAAGTAAAGTGAGAGGTTTTTATGCCTGTGCTGGGCTGCGGTAGGTTGCCTGTTTCATTGTTCTTCCACACATTTGCTTGGCTCTGACCTCGGTGGATTCAGCCAGCCATGTGCTGTGCAGACACTGACTCTGCTGATTTGACACTGAAGTAAAAGACTCAAAAAAAAAAAAAAAAAACTGTGTAAATGTGATGTACCGGTTACGTAATCTCTGCTGGGACCAGAATATAGTTCATAAATCAATAATCATCCGTTTACGGAAAGTAGTTATCCGAATATGGAAAATCAGTGGCTTTATTAGTCTTTTTGTTTTTCCAGCTCTTAAAATTGGACTTTTTCTCGTGGTCAACATGTTTTTTGTTGACTCACATGTGTCAGACTTAACAGGAAGGAAATGAGCCCTGAAGTTGTTCCTTTACGACAAAGTTCTCTCTACTGTAAGCAAATAGATATGAGCTCCAGTGAAAGTGTGCAGGGGTTGGGTGGGGAGTGGGTGTGTGTGTGTGTGTGTGTGATGGTGGGGGTGGTGGGGGTATTGGCCTGCAGAGAGCCGGAGCAGCTTGGAAAGGCATTAAGGAGCAGACGGTCTTTTCCAGAACAGTTCGGGAATTGACACAGACTACTTCCTGGACTTGCATGACACTCCGCCGCTGAAAGGGGAGCCCTGGCTGGATGCGATTGGTCAAGTGTGTTTATACTGGACTGGCTGACTGGGATGATGACAGTCGGTCTAACTGCCTGTGTGTGTGTGTGTGTGTGTGTGTGTGCACTTGTGTAATGGTTGGACGCTGTGCAGGAGTTTTTGTCCAGCAGGGGAGACAGATGGATGAACATCGCTGGATTTGTTTAATGTCTTAGATCATTTGTTTTTATCCTCGCTAAGTGTGTGTTGGCGGTGTTAGTCAGTCCACCACTGTGGTCCAGTATCTCAACAACTGCTGGATGGATTGCCATGACGCTTTTGTAAAGGCATTCGTGGTCCCCAGAAGATGAAACATACCGACTTTGGTGATCCCCTGCTTTTCCCCTAGTGCCACCATGAGGTGGAGATATCTGGTTTTTTATCAAAATATCTCGCCAACTCTTGTGTAGGATTGCCGTAAAAGTTTTTTTCAGCCATTCATGGTCCCCAGAAGATGAAGCGTAATGACTTCGGTGATCCTCTGATTGTTTCATCCAGTTCCACAAGCAGGTCAATGTTTTAATTATCAAGTGAAATATCTCAACAACTGCTGGATGGATTGTCATGAAATCTTATAGAAGCGTTCGTGGTCCCCAGAAGATGATGTAGGTGGGACTAGCGTAGCTGTAGACTCTTATACACTCTATTTAAGCTTTTATCTTTATATTTTCTGATTTAAAATCCCTTATCTAGTCTCTGTCTTCTGGTTGTTTGACAGATAACGGAGGTCAGACACTGACCGGCGGCAGCAACTGGCCACTGCGAGGCAGGAAGTGGTCACTGTGGGAAGGTGGAGTCCGGGGAGTCGGATTTGTCGCCGGCCCGCTACTCGAACGACCCGGAACCGTCAGCCGCGAACTGATCCACGTCTCTGATTGGCTGCCGACGCTCGTTGGCCTGGCAGGCGGGAGCACCAACACCACAAAGCCCCTGGACGGATTCGACGTCTGGAACACAATCAGGTGAGCCGGGGGCCGGAGGTTTTTTCACAGAGCCGGGGACTTTGAACTCACAGCTGGGAGTGTTTCTTGGGTGGCAGGTTCGGCCTGTGGCCTGCGTTTACAGCGTGAGCGATACCAGCTCTCCAGTTTGACAGCCTGCCCTCTCTTTGTGCCCCCCCAATCAGCGCTCCTCGCTCCAACTCCCTCTGCCTGTCTCCCTGACCCAGCGTCTTTTTCTTGTAGGAGCTCCTGCTCCTTCAATAAGCCCTTTGTTACTGTGGCAATGGGAGCTCAAAGAGAAGGAAATTCCATCAGTCATTCTCACACAAATCAGTAGTCCCTCCATCCCTCTTGTTTTTTTCCCCTATCCCCTCTTCATCCCACACCTCCACCTCTATCAAACCCTGCTTTTGGATCAGCTAATTAGATTTTGCTGCAAATCCTTTCATGTTGCGACAATCCTGGGATGTTGTAATTACTGTACGTGTGTAGTTGTATTTCTATGTTTTAGAGAGCTGATATGATAAGTCTGTTTTTACATGGTAGTTTGTGCAGGGATCATCACACCAGCTGTCACTGAGTCCCGTTTGACTGACACATTATATTTGTAAACTAAATGTGGACACAATGAAGGAGGTGAAATTGAGGGCTGCAGCAGAGCCCCAGCAGAAAATCAAGGCTTAGCCTGGACCACAAACTACTACTCACAGCCTCCACTTGACTCCATTGGCTGACGCAAATCAGCTGACCGCTGGCTGCTGGCGTTGCCGTGTGAGCGACACAACAACACGGGGGGAACACAAACTGCCGTTTGTTTGCACCGCCGCACGGTTTCATTTTGGTGTGTATTCTCCCTGCCCGTTACAGAAAGCAGCGGCCTGACAGCTCGACCGGTGGAAATAAAGAGAAAACCTAATGAAACCAGAACAGTAGGGCAGGCGGCAGAGAGCGAGAGTTATTTTAGTTGTGTTATCAGACACTGTGGTCAGCGAGAGCGGTGCGTTTTCTCTGTGGTGGGAGTGCGGTCAGAGCACATGACCGCCTGGTGAACATCGGCCAGCTGGTTCAGATTTACAGATCCCAGTGGATTTTACAGTGCATGAGTCAGACATCATTGTGTGTGTGTGTGTGTGTGTGTGTTTGTGTGTGTGTGTGTGTATCTCCATATGTTTAAGACTAACACTGCCTTTATGTTGCAGCAAAGGGTTCGCCTCACCCAGAGTGGAGCTGCTGCACAACATCGACCCTCTGTACAATGATATCGCTCCGTGTAAGTTCACGTTTTCACTGCACATCACATCACAACACATGAGTAGGATCATAGCGTATAATTTGCATATTATTTGTCAATTAATCAGTTAATGGCTTAGGCTGTGAAATGTCGTGCAATTTTAAGGAATGTCCATCGCAACAAAGCCCAAAAAGACGTCTTATTTTTCCAACCAACAGGCTGAAACTCAAAGATTATCAGGTTACAATGATATTAAACAGTGAAAAGAAACAACTCCAGAAGCTGCAGCGAGAGAATATTTGGCATTTTTTGCTTGAAAAAAGATGATTCCTCTCAGCTCTGCGTATAAGATTAAGAACTAAGACGCTCTTCTTTGGAAAAAGTGGAAACCTCTGACTGCCCTGTGTTGTTTTGAGTGTGTATTTATGTAGAGTGTATATGCTCTCATCCAGACCTGGTGAAGAGAGAATTTTGACATGAATTTTGAAATAGGAGCTTGTGAAACACAAACATTGGCCGACCCGAGCTGCAGAGATCCCATCACTTCACTGTTAAACATATTCAGAGCTGCAAAATCCTGCCAATAGTCTGAGATCATTTCACTTCTTTATGTAAATCAACTTGCTCTTGGAAACCTAGTTTGTGTCCTGGTTTTGATAACGAGTCTTGTGTTTATGTGTTTCAAAACTGCACATGAAATACAGGAAGTGAACGAAACCATCCCCAGATTCCACCAAATGTGTCACTTGTTTAGAGAAATTGCAGATTTCAAATCTAGATATGAGGTTATGGAGCCTCTTTTTGGTCCAGACTGAAATATCTCAACACCTAGGGGATGGATTGGCGTGAAATTTTGTGAAGACATTGATGTTTCCCAGAGGATGAATCCCAATGACTCTGGAGATCCTCAGACTTTTCCTGGGGCCACCATCAGGTCCTAGTTTTCATCATATCCTGGGAAATATCTCCAAATTTCCTTGATGAATTTCCACCACATTTTGTGCTGACGTTCATGTTTCCCAGAGGATGAATCCCAATGACCTTTGTGATCTCCCGACTTTTCCTCTAGCGGCACCGCCACGTTGGCGTCTGCGTCTGTAGAGACATCCAAAAGTCACGGACTGTGTGAGAGTGTTCTTATTTTATTTTAAATGGATCGGCATGAAATTTGTACAGACATTCGTGGTTCCCAGAGGATGAAGCTCAGTGACTTTAATGATCATCCTGACTGTAAACGGCATCCCTTTTAAATATCTGGTGACCTCTCACCAGGTTGGAAACCACTAGTTTAAATTCCATCCATCTACCCATTATCTATGTATAGATGGACGCTGGGGGGGGCTGGAGCCTCCCAAATATAAACAGACAGCCTTTTCACTCCTACAGGCAATTTAAAGTCACCAGTTGACCTAAGATGCATGTTTTTGGACTGTGGGAGGAAACCTGTAAAGACACGTGCAAATCTCCTAAACCGTAATTTCATCTTCCAGTGAAGGCGACAATTTGATAAAGGATGTTGAGGTGATGGAAACCTTGTGTTCCCTCTCCTCGTCTCGGGGCATTGTGGGACTTGTGTTCTTCTTTTCTCATGTTGTTGTCTCTCTCTCTTTTCCCAACGAGTATCAAGGCTTCATTGTTAGACGCCGGTATTCACAAACAGCAAGACATCGTGAATCCAATTGACGCAAGTTAAAACAGACTGGGGCCCTAAGAATAGCACGTTGCATAACATTCGACTGAACTCACATTAACCTATTAGAAACCCACGTTATGTTTATTATGAGTGTCTGAAAAAAATGTGTGTGTGTGGTGATTCTGTTTGTGGCTGATCTCACATGGTGTCTAGCCAATCGTCAGTGGATGTCCAATTAAGTCTCTAATTAAAATGAAACTTCTTCCCCTTCTATACAAAAGTTAGGTGAATTGTTTAAGAACATTTATTTTATCAATGAAAGTTATTTTGTTCTCACATTTTGGTTTTGTTGTTTTGTGGCTACTGTATCACGGAAAACGGTGTTTTTGTTTTTTCATCTGAGGAACGCTGATAACACAAGGTTGATGATGTAATCAGTCACTGGTGAAGCTGTGGTCAGTCAACACTGTTGAAATCTGAGCTTGTTGACGTTTGAGGGCAGGGTGTGTGTGTGTGTCCAGTTTAAACTGTGATTGCAGGGAGGTTTCCAGGAAATGGGTCTTGTGACTGCCTTTTTTTTTTTTTCACTATGAGACAAAGTGGTCTCGTACTTGTCTACACCACGTAATATTAGGTGAACCAAACCCACTGCCATCTCTGAGGAGGTAGCGGGCTCCTGGTCTGAGGTCACTATTTCTGACTTTGTGGAGGATGCTGCACATTGGTTGTACATTTAAAAATAGCAGAGGTATAGGGGGAGTACATTTTTGTACTGAAATGTTTCACAGATGTACCACGATTGTCCTCAAGAGAGCGGATGTGTAGCTTTTGATCCACTGTAAAGGTTCTGTGAAAGGTGAAAGTCACAACAGAAATCTTATTGGGACCTTTGTAATCCAACATAGGAGAGGTGTCGGGGGCGGGGTTTCCAAAGCTACTCGACAGGGTGGGATCGGGGGAAGATACTCGCTTGCAGGCTTGCATTAGTACAGTCATGTAATCCTCTTATGAGGTTGATATGGAGGCGACAGTTGCCTGTCTGCACATCCAGCAGACACAGGGGAAAGTAATCGTTCATTTGGAGCCACCTTGTGAATATAAGTTGAACTATTAGCCTTCCTTTTATCTCTGTTTTTGGTCTCCACCATCCCCGGGGGGAAATATCTGGCTCTTTCTGGCTAACTTTGTGTGTGTGCTGTTCGTTCTACGTGCGAGCCGGTGTAAACAGGAAGCAGATTGTCGATTCTGCAGTTGATAAGTTGCAGAAAATACTACGAGCAGCTGCTACGTCATCGTTTCCAAAGGTCTCAATTTTTCCCCCGTCCAGACTGCAACTCACATAACTGTTCAAACTAAAACAAAGCTGGCAGCGTTTCAAAAGTCTCAGTTTTAGGTGCTTAGGTGTGGACAGGCGTCTTAGTGTATTTTAAAACTAAAACATTAAAGGTTCAGGCTGTAAAACCAAAAACAATGAGCTGAAAGAAGCTAAAACAGGGTTAAACTGCTGTCAGTACCAGTAAACTGTGATGAAAATGAAACTGAATTAATGCAAATTTACTTTCTCTTTCCTCTAATGTCCAAGAAGTGGCCGAGACCTACTGGGAATAAATCCAAAGCCTCTGTTTGATGAATAAGTCTTTGGAAAGTCCGGTCACCGATTTATCGCGTCTCTGAGACCCGACTGTTTACACAGCTTAAGCCAGAGGTCCTCAAATTCTCCTCAAAGTTTACTCCTGGTCATTACCATGTAAATCATTCGTATGATAAGAGGACCCAGTGAAAACAACACTGCTGCTTTACAAGCCCTCGCCCTCGTGTTTTATGTTTGAATCTTTATTGTCAACCACCACAGTGACAACCAGCCTCCTTCAGCGCATTCCTCTCTTCTTTCTTTCCCCTCTTTCCTATTAACCCGGCCTCTCTTTGGAAACTCGCTCTCCACGTTCCTTCTTTGGGTTTTCTCTATTTAGCTCATAAAAAGACAGAGTCCCCCTTTTTTTTTTTTTCTTTTACATACTTTCTCCTTTCAAGTCGCTTTTTCGAAATCCCTCGTCTCTGCCCTCGCTCAGTGTGAGAAGAGGGATCCTAACTAAAATGGGTCACAGAGGGGTCCCTGAAGTTCTCGCTTGTTGAGAGAGAGAGAGAGAGAGAGAGAGAGACACAGAGAGAGAGAGAGAGAGAGACACAGAGAGAGAGAGACACAGAGAGAGAGAGACCCTGGACTTGGCCCAAACCTTAAATCACCCCCAAATTTCCCCTCCGCACTCCTCCGCTCTCCTTCTAGCAATTTCCCTGCTCTCTCAGGGTCTCTTCCCACTGTTCCTCCCCCTCTCCTCCCCCCCTTTCTCTCTCGTTTTTTGTGGATCCTCCTGCTGCGGGTCCAGATGAGCGAGGCCTGCTCTGAGGAGAGGGTGAGAAATGGACGGAGCGTCTGTTGGGGATTGAAGCCCCTTTGCTTAAAGAAGCAAGAGTGGAAGAGGAACCCCTGAAATAAATCAAACCCTGATGTTTGCAGAGCCCAAATCATCCGTCATCCCGCCGGCTAACGTAACAGTGTGAACACCTGAATCTGGCGCCACGTCAACACCGCGTTCTTATGTAAGGATTCGAGACTGAATCTGGTTCAGGGATCGCGTTGCCGGGCCTAATGCATGTGACAGCAATTAAGATTCCCACATGTGATTTGTGCAATCATCAGTGACGAATTCAACGTCGCAGCTTTTTATCATGTGGTCGCAAAAAAAAAACAAAAAAACCCTGAGATCGGAAATGATTTAATTCTCCCGACATGTCGCTGTGGTGGAATCGACTCTATAAAAAACCAGCTCCAACATTGGAGCATTTGTCTATATGCAAAGAATGTGAGGCAATACTTGTTTTTGACAGCGACAGGAGGCCGAAATCACTTCGCAAATCTGAGCTAATCAGGACCACATTGTCGGGGTCAAGCGCTTGCGTGAACCTGAGAACACTCGCAAGGCCAAACGTAGACATGTGTGCTCGACTTCTGGGAGACATTTTCCGTAAGAACAGAAATAGCTCATGGCAGGAGGCTGCGGAGATTTCTGGACACCATCAGAACAAGGATGAATTATTTACTCTCGCCTTGTGAAACGGGTAAAATCATGCCAATTGGTAACTGTGACCCTTGTTCCTCCTTTGCTTACTGTCTTCAAGTCTGCCCAACTGCAGCAACGGGCAAATTATTCATTGTGCTTGGCAGACATCGGAGACTGGTGCTGAGTCGACCACATTACCGCCGTATTTGTCACATTCTTCCAACCCACGTGTTTGAGGAAATTCACATGTAAAACAACTTCTGGTCTTAAAAGTGAAGGATTGTTTTGAATGTGTTTTTTTGTTTTCAGCAATTTTTTCAACCACTTAATTCCAGCTGTTTCTCTACTGATTTGGCAGCACAAAATGAAGTCTTTCATCCTGATGTATTTGCTTTCACTTGATACTGACTGTAATTTCCAGGTATGCGCTCAGATTTGGTGCCAGTCTACCAACTGGTATCGTTTACACAGGGCGTCCTGTATCGCCTTAATCAGCAGATTCTATTTTATTTTTTAAATATGGATGACCTCCACGATCAGCTCTGTCCTGTGCTCTCTGTCAGGCCCTGGCAGGGAGCGTCGGTTAACTTTGGCTCAGGTGGTCAGCGGAGACTCCCGGGCCAACTCCGGCTTCAATGTGTCCATTCACGCCGCCATTCGATCCTCAAACTGGAAGCTGCTGACTGGCTACCCAGGTCAGTATCTTCTGTCGCCCATAATGACATGTTTAGTCTAAAGTGGAAGTGGAAAATCAAGCACATGTATGCAACAGACACACACTGACGTCTTATCTCTGCTCATCAGCGGTGACGAAGTCCTTGAGTAAAAGTACCTATATGTTATTGGAAAAACGCTCCTTTCCTACTTAAGTGAAAGTACTTAAAGTATCAACAGAGACAGGAAGAATCTGAGAGGTTGTTAGATGATTAATGGGAGAGGAAATATTTTCAGTTTCACATCTTTGTGCCTCAGTCAGTTATTTTAATGAGACCTCCTGAGAAGTTTAGAAGTTGATCAATCAGCAGCTATTTTGATAATCAAAGCAAAAGTACCAAACATTTGCTGGTTCTAGATTCTCATAAGTGAAGATTTGCTGCTTGTCTTTATGTCGTATGACAGTTAATGAAATATCTGTTGACTGTTGGCCAGTCAAAACTGGTTTTTCAAGATGTCACTTTGGTCTCTTTTCATTATTATTTTTTACATTTTATAAACAAGGAGCCCCAACATTTTTTTTGGTAAGAGGCCACAAGCTAAAAATGTTTTTTTATTTATTTTTTATAAGCTCATTATAAGTTGTTTTTCAGGCATTTTTTGCCTTTATTACAATCATAGTTAGAGGAGAGAGAGACAGGAAAGTTGTAGAGAGAGAGAGAGGGAGAGAGAGAGAGGGAGAGAGAGAGAGAGAGAGAGAGAGAGGGGATATCGTGCAGGAAAGGGCCACGGGTCGGACTCGAACCCGGCCACCGGAAAGGACTAAGGCCACCGAGGTGACCCAAGCTCATCATGTGTTTTTCTTTTAATATAAAATGTTCATGTGAAACGTAAATGTAGTCCAGTAGAAAACACAATATGCGGTTGAGTAAAAGTATAAAGAAGCATAAAATGAAAATACTCATGTCCTCCATCTTGTCTCCTCCAGGTTGCGACGTCTGGTTCCCGCGGCCCGGCCACAACGGCTCCGAGTCGACTCCCTCCGAACGGGATCCACTGAAGTCTGTGATGCTGTTTAATATAGAAAAGGATCCAGAGGAGAGGGTGGAAGTGTCTGCTCAGTTCCCCACAGTGGTGGATCATCTCCTCAGTCGGCTCCGCCACCACCAGAAAAACGCTTTGCCCATAAACTTCCCAGATGAAGACCCCAGGTGTGACCCGGGCCCCACGGGAGCCTGGGGACCCTGGGCTTAGCCGGAGGTGACGGTGATGAACATTATGAAGCACTTTGTTTTAACTGTGTTTGCTGTGAATTACAGCAGGAATCTCTTCTGTGGAGAACTTTTTATTTTTTATTTTTTACTGAATGATGATTTAATGTAATGTCGGTCGATCTAAAAGACATTTTATTCCATCAACCAAATATTTCAAGCCTCTAAATCAGATCGCTCAGGTTTTTTAAAGGAAAATATTTTCAGTTGCTTTCTTTTTTTCTCAACAACCAAAGCAGAAGCTCGGCAGGTCGTGTCATTCACAAAGTGACTGACAGATCGATCTCTGCGTCCCAGGTCGATAGCGATTGCGTAAACCGTGTTAGCTACACATGCTGCTGATTTGTAAAGACTGTCTCCCCGCTGTTTCAGGTATTTGCACTTCGTTTTTCTGCTGTTGAGAAGCCGCGGGCGTCTGGAATGAGTCAGACACAAAGCTGCACAGAAATATCAGAGTCTTGAGAAAAATATTTCACCCATTAAACAATGGTGAAGATATTTTTGAGCTTTTTAAGGATTGCACAGGAGAGCTGCACTAATCAATATTTTTTTATATTGACAATTGATGAAGTGACTGGTAACAATTTCTTCCTTAACTTTTGAGTACAGAACGATGTGTAACCGAATCACAGTCACTGATGGGGGGTGATGGAGACCAAAACATGGCTAAAAGGACAGCAAATGTCTGATTTACACATGCTACTGTGGCAAGTGGCCAAAAATATCACTTATTGCAGATTTTAAATGCGCTTTAAATGAGCTGTGCTCTACTTTTTTGTTTTGTTTGTTTTTTAGTAATTGTGCACACCACTGTTTGTAAGTGTCAACGGGTTGTAGATTAAGATTAGCTATAAGAAATACATCATAAACAGGGTAAGATGTGGTAAAAATGTTTGTAAAACAGACTGAAAATTATGAATGTGTGGACAGTTTGAACAGTATACAGCTAATTAAAAGTGGTCTTCTTCAGCTCGCTTGTTTCCCTCATCGTTGCCTCTAAGTTAACGATGAGTAGGTGCTAAATGAGTTAGCGGTTAGCGGTGTATTTCTGCTTTTCGAGGCTGAAAATGTGAGGAATTTCTTGTGGACTTCAGGCATCTCATATGTTATGGCTTCAGAAATAACTCCCACATGCCCGTCATTCATGAATGTATCGTTCTCATGAAGGATAAAGTTGTTTAAGGTCAAATATCTTCTGTGCTGCTGATGTTGTTCCATATACTGAAGTCAAAACCGCGATAGAGAACGAGCAGGTTAAAAGGTAAAATTCAGTTACTTCCAAACGGGTCATTTGCATATTTGGAGTCTGAGTGGGAGAAACTAATTTCCTTAATACATACACCCTGTTTGACCTTTAGCCCCTTGGTGTTTGACCTCCCACTGGCAGCAGCATGCAGACTACCACAGGAAATGCTCCCTGCAGAGAGTGGGCGGCCCCGTCCTAATGTGGGCTGTGACCCTTAACCCGCTGCTGTGAATTGATTGGCAGCTGAGCAAAGCAAACAACACCGCTGGAGCCGTCCGACATCAGCAGGTATAGTTATGTCACTGGAGTCGGTTTCCTGTATAGATGTGTTTGTGTTTGTGTTTATCAGACCAGTTCTTCGTGTCGGAGTCTGGTCTGAGCTGGTCTTTGCTGTTTGTACAGTAGAATATCACATGATACTCCTTCGCTGAGCTGGAGATAATGTGAGGCTGCTGCTTTTCACAACCAGACTCCTCTTATAGAGACAGAGAGACGCTTAAAGGAATAGGAACATTTTGGGGAAATTGTTTGATAAGGCTCTTTATTATATTATATATATTATATTACAAAGTATATTATATTATTGTTGACATTAAAGGGAAGTTCTGGGATTTTTACGACATTTTTCATATGAATTTAGATTTTCATACATTTAGAAAAAGGAAGGAAACAAAATGAGTTTGTGTAATGTTTGGTTTTTATTTGGAAGGCTGCGAACAGGGGGAAACGACTAGCTTAGCTCTGTCTAACAGTGAGGAAACAAAGGGCCATAAGCTTCCCTGAAGTTAGCACAGTACAGCTTGTTTTGTTTGCTCGTTGCAAAACCTGAGGTTTATTTAAGTGTAAACAATAATTAATGGTTTTATTTACATTAGAAAAAACAGTCACTGCATCTGGCAAAGAAATAATTCAGCACATAAAACCACAACTTGCCGTTTTTATACATACTATTTTTTATTTATATAACATGTTAACTAGCTGCTGGGACATTTAGCTGTGTCCCCTGTTTGCAGTTTTTATGCTAAGCTACGCTAACAGCTCAGATTGACATGACGAGCTAACACTGTTGAAATTGTTGAACTGTTCCTTTAAGGATGTTTGGAAACTATGTCGTAAATTAAGAAAGCATTAACGAGTAGTGTGACAAATTAATCTTTTAATTAATTTTTCCAGAGCTTTCAGCCGTATAACACGGTCTTCATCAGTGGGCGGATTTTGCTCAGTTGTCGTGGAGATGGTTTTGATAACCTGTGTCTTAACAGCTGTGATTTAAAGCCTTGGGAAAAAAGGAAGTAAGCGGACCTTTAGCTGGGATTGTTTCTCGTCCAAGGCCCAGATTGAACTTTGATGCTTAATTGATGAGAGGAGATTTTAGGTCGTGTTCACCTGAATTATTTATTCCTTCCCAGTCGTCCCATATGGCCGGCCCCCAGGCGACTGCGTGGTGCCAGATACTCGCTTAAATTTTTAAATCTAAAATCTAATCTACATTTTTTTTGTCAATTATTGTGTCTTTTTAACAATAGGCGGTTTTCTAATTTTACATCGAGTGACTGTATGAACTCGTACAAGTGTGTATGTGCTTTAAAACCCAGAGTGGCTGTTAAACAGAATTTATTTAAACAGGGATTTTGGTAATGGATGACGACCAGTGTACCACATGATTATTTTACGTTTCTGAGAAAACACTTCTCATGCTGCTGAGGCTATAAATTTGTCACTAGCTTGTACTGTTAGTTTACTCTGCAATCAAAACTCTGCACTTCAGCATGATGGGATAATTTAATCATTTAATTAGACGTTGCCACGGCTCAGCATTCACCTAAAACCGAGGCCTGCGAGTTTTCTGAGCTCGGCTGCAGACCGCTCTCACACTCCTCATACCCGCTCTGTGGTGAACTCGCCCCTCCTGACAAGTTATTCCATCTTACCCCCTCCTCCCCCTCCTCCTCCTCCCTCCCCCTCCTCCTCCCTCCCTCCCTCCCTCCCTGTCATTATGATCAGCCAACCTCGGCGGTGTCACAACTCGTCTCCTCCTCATACTTTTCAAAGGTGGTTTTGGTGTGTTTTTCACACTTAATCCTGCGCTCTGACGGCCCCTGTGAAGTCTGCCTCACAGAGTGACAAACACACTCCTCTGCTGAATCAACACAGCGGATCCACCGGCCCTGACGTCGCCCCGAACCCCTCACGCTCTGTTGTTTCAGCTGTGGAGATGGCTGTGAGTGCCTCCCTGAGAGATATGACGGCGTAGAGATATGACAAGACGGCACGAGGTTCAGGGCTCGGATTCATCAGACGGTTAAAAGTAAAACTGTGGACTTCAGTTAAAGATAAAAATAGAAATCCTTCACTTAAGAATTTAAAAATAAAAACAATTTGTCAAACTTCTTTTGACATAAAAACTCTCTTAAATGACAGAGAGCTGCAGAGGTGTGAGGAGCTGGTTAAGAATAGATCCTTGATGACTGCAGTCTGCCTCTGTTCTCTGGCTCGTGGTAATAATAGTATTTCAGTCTATTATTTGCATTTGAGTATTTGATAGGATGTGACACGACTTTTTTTTTTTCCTCTCTTCCCATCCATCCATCCATCAGCCACACTGCTCATCCTTACAGGGTGGAGCCAATCAATTTTATCTCTCTTTTATTATATGATTTCTTTGTCCTACCTCGTCAACCAAAAGCAGAATTTCCTCACATTTCATCCCTCTCGGTACATTATTAATATATAAGGTCCCACATGATCAATGGGTCAAATCTGGATCCGGATGCGGACCTTAATCCAGACCCAACCCTTGACAAAATTTCAGTATAACCTGACCCAGACTGCCTGCAAACATCTCATAGCGGTCACATCACCTCACCTGTCATGTGATAAAAGTTCCTTCTCCATTACGAGTATTTGTGCTTTTGATTCTTTAATTACATTTTGCTGTCAGTGAACTTTGACTTTGACTTCAGTACAGCTTCTTCCACCACTAGATAAGTGTCATTATTTTTGTTATCAACACAGTAACTGAGCTCCAGGTTTGTTGAATGTGATCTGCACCAGTTTCTTTTTCTCTCTTAATCACGTCATGCTCTGTGGTGGTCTCCCGCACACTTTTTGTTAGGTGTGATGAGCTGTCGGATTTCCCCCCTTCAGGCTCAAGGTTCAACACATTCCTGGCTGCACTGGTCAGTATGATTTTAATCTGTTTTCACAGGCAGCGCAGCACAGACACACAGACACAATCTTGTTTGGAATTCCAGTCCCACTTCACTGACGGGAGACCTTCAGTCTCTCCTCGTGGACGTACCAGAGAGGAAAATCAAGGGTGGCATCCGTCTCTGTGTCCCACATGTGCTCACCGTCAAAACATCTGGGCCTGTATTTACCAAACTCTGAAGAATTACACTTGAAAATGATCTAAGACCAACACGAAGCAACGAGACACATTTATCAAATGACTAACTCCTACTTTTTAAGAGCAACTTTCATATGATTCATCACATTTGCTTTGTGCATTTTCTTTAATAAAAAAAACACCTTACAGTTAATTCTGTGGTATGTTATTCTGCAACAACATACAGTTTATAATTATATTTAATATTTATATTAAAGTTAATTTTATTTGTGTGAAATCTTAAAATCTCCCAGAATAATTAACAAGGGAAATTAAAGGTGGTATATGCAAGTTTTTGCTATTGCTACATAGCCATCGTCAGCATTAGCAGTCTAGAAGAAAGGTTGTGAGGTCAGTATCAAACTTCATTCCTTTACTCACCAACAGCTGTCTCCAGATGTGGAAAGCAGCACCAGTGTTGACTCTCGTCTCTATCGCATCTTTTCTTCTACTGAAGTTAGCACGCTAACTGGCTAGCCCCGGTTTGCAGCTTCCAGTCTGCACTGAAGACGTAGCGCCGCTCTGAGGACGTATTAAAACCTCCTGTCTTGTGAGAGCAATGATGGCCGAAGCTTTTGTCACGTGACGATCACCACAACAACAATAGTAAAACGGGTCCACTACGATAATTTAAAAGGTGTTTTGAGTCCAGGAAATTTGGATTAAACAAGTCGTATTTAACTTTAATGAAAACTCCAGAGCTGTGTTTCTGTGTTAATGGGAGGAGTGACAATAACGATCAATCGTTGCGTAACAAAGTCTTTAAACTCAGAGAAAGTGTTTATCCACTGCTCAGTTTGTTGTGTGATTGATTTTCTTTTTTTTCCAGTTACCCTCCTGGTAGCTGGATATGATGATTTCAGCTGGTTCATTTTAAGGTTCTTAACACTTAACTCAGTTAGATTCAAAGTGGCCATGTCTGGTGTTGTAGTGGCATTTTCACAACGTGCGTGGCGAGTTTTAAACATGTCATTTTACTTTTTTAAAGTCCAGTCATGTCTGTAACTCATGAAGCTCAGACCACTGATTATTGGAGTAATCAGTCATGTATTAGAGGAAACTGGAGTATTTCTGCTGCAGACTATTGTTCTTTCAGTCTGACCATCAACCCAAAGGTCACCGGGAGTAACAATGATCCCAGGAACTGGGTGGATAACATCAGGGCTGTTATTATTGTCAATAACTGCAGAGTTGTTTAGCCAGAAACTCCCCAACCAAGTCATGAGACTCCCCTGTGTTTTCACTCCATTCAAGTCTCATTTGACTGACCAAGGAGCACAAATAAGAGGGCACCGAGGTCCTGGCACCAGTTGTTGGCCTCCCAGTCACAACACTCTCAAAATAGTCCATTCACACTCGCTCGCTGTCGTGCAAACCGAACACGAGCGTACAAAAGTTGTTGTTTGGCACCGTTTCTGCTCTACCGGCTGCACCTCCTCACACCGTCTTCTACAACACAGGCGCCGTGTATTTCCATTGAGTTTGGCCACAATAGAAGACTTGAGACTGGGAATGGGAGATGGCGCATGCATAGACACATGTCTGGAAATAATGCTAAGTATGGCTTTCTGCTGTGCAGCACATAGGCCGACGTGTTGGACCTGAATTAGACGGAGCCTTCAGAATGTGAACAATCTGCAGAGGGTCTTTAGCTCAGCTGTTAGCCTCCGGTAAAGGTTAAGACTCCGATCCAGAGAGGATTAGACATGTAGAGAACCCAAACGATCAAGTAACGCTCGTCTTTACAGAGGGGGTGTGGTAATCAGTCGTGAAGATAAGACTAAGAAGTTTTTGATTTCTTTATTCCATCTGAAAGTAAATGATGAATTTCAGAAGAGGAAAAAACATCCTCAGCTCCTTCAGGCCTGTGGTTCTCAGAGTCAAGGACCCTGAACTGCTTTTAGATGTTTTATTACAGAAAGTGTTTGAAACTTATGAACAACATTGTCATATATTCTGTTATTGTTTTACTTATGGATGGAATTATAGTGAAAATGAATTATTCCTCTTGTTGCTTCTTCAAGGACCCCTGGGGGTCCCTGAACCCCACTTTGAGAACCACTGCTTTAGGCTACTAAAGTAAAAAAAATAGGTAAAGTGGTAAAATACTAAATTGTGAGTAAAAGTTCTGAACGAAAAATAAAACTCCTCATAATATAGAAAATGTAAGTATGTAAGTGTACGCCCTGGGTTTTTAATTTAGATGCATGTGCGGAAGTGGAAGATAATAATAATGACTATACTGTTGAGTTTAATCTATGATGATGCATTATGTCTTCGAGGTTATGTTTTGCATGTTAAGCCTTAATCAACAGAGTAACTGCTGACTCCAGATGTTAGATACCTGTCTTGTGCAGATGTGGCGTGAAGCAGCACAAACTGTAAAATACAAAAACTTGAATTTTACTTTAACTTAGCCTCCATCGCAGTGGTGGTCACCCGCGTGGTTCCTGAGCACATATAGTGTCATTAAATAAATAATTTACTCTCGTGAGTGCAGCACGAGTCGCAGAGAGGCGGTGATTGGCGGGTGGGGGAGGGAGCTACCGGAGCAGTCACTCCCCATCCCAACAGTAGTTCTGTCTGGGCGGAGGGGGGACGCAGCCAGCAGCCTGCAGCCTGCAGCCAGCCATTCATTCTTCTGCGGTCCCGGAGAAAACGTGGAGGATGAAGAAGAGACTCTGAGAGAGAGAGAGAGAGAGAGAGAGAGAGAGGGGGAAGAAAAAATTAAGTCAGGATCGAGTCCGACAAGCTCAACCTCAACTCTGCACAAACCTCAGAGAAAAGAGACGCAGAAGAAGATCCGGCACAAAAAAAAACCCTCGGTGGATTTCAGAGGCGTCGCTTCTAAAAACGCACAGACAGCAGTTACACGTAAGTAGCTGCGGCACCTAAACAACCAGGGAAACTGGAGAAATCACCTCTTTTTCTTAAGCTGATAGTGTAGAGAGATTGTCTGCCCGTGAAGCCAGTCTCTGTCGGAGAAACTCGGAAACAGATACTGAGACTTTCATCCAAGTTTCATCCACTTTTGTTGCTGTGCGGTTTTCTTCCAGAGCTCTGAGGGAAAAACTCGTGGCAGGAAAGCCGAGCAGACTGATGCTCTGCCAGGCAAAGCAGCTCATTATGACCCTAATGTGTTCTCACTCATCGGTCAGACATTTAATTCCTCCATTAATGTAGTTTTAAATCATTTACGTGTTAACAAAACTTTAATGCACATGGTGCAAGTTGGACTCCTGTCATCAAAAGTCCAACAAACAGTAAATGCAACATGATGATGAGACGAGAAAAAGCAGCAGATTTTCACATTTCAGAAGCTTAAAATTGACTTAAAGGAATAATTCATTATCAAAACGGTTTGACCTCCAGGAAGCATCAGTTGTAGTCTATAGTTCTGTGCAAAATTCAACTTAAAAACCCACTTCCTTTCTTTTATTTATCTATTTTCTGACACTATGTGCATCATTACCCAGTAAAAGTCTCATTCAAGATGGAAAACTCAC